TGCTTGTTGAAGTCCAATAATGATAATGATAAGACCTGGTCCTAGCTATGAGAGTTCTATTCAAAACCATCTGACTGAGTTACGTAATATAGTCTCAACTGTAGCAGCTTCCATTACCACTATTAATACCAGACTGGAGAATTTTGAGTCTACTGACCATCCCGGTCTGTCTACAGGCCATAACAGCTGATTACCAATTCCCGTAACCGAGTCGTCTCAACTGGGTCACTCTAATTTAGTTAACCTGTGAATTCAACCAGCACACATCATTACTCCTGCTCATCTGGTCCTTTTGAACTTAAGAAAAGATATATTGGAAGGCAAAAATGTCTCTATTAATAGCCTCATAAGAAATTGTTAATAATAAATCTAACTCTGTGGTCCTGAAACCCAGAGACCCAATATTCAACAAGAAGTTAACTATTCCTGATTTTGTATTGTCTGTTCTGTTCAGGCATGTGGTTTGCTTAAATTACACACTTCGTAGAGAGGAACTGGACCTATATTTGCATAAACTGGTAGACATAATATGGTGGGTTTGCATTCTCCTATTACCATAAGTCCTTTTCTGCAAAAGCAGCCACAGCTTTTGTACAGTTTAATATTCATACTGACTGGAGCCAGTTGGACACAAAACTTTTCTGCAGGCGTTTTGCAGAGCTCAAGGTTCTAGGTTGTGTGATATTTACATCCTCCACTCATACCAACCCTCAAAAACATAGGAAATTCAAGAACAAAAAGGGACTTGATAAAACACTGAAACACTATTTTAGCAATTTATCAATGTTTTGAAAAAGGTTTCTGCAATGTATGCGTATTAGCAAAAATAAATAAATAAAAGAATTTCACAAGCACTTGTCCTGAAGACCGAGTAAATTTCTGTACAAGGAGTACGTGTAATAGGGGGACACTTAAGAAAAAAATCACATAACTGTTTGATAATTATTGGAGTGTTAATGGTTGCTGATGAGATATTAATTATGTTGAATTGATTGCAACCTCACTGGTCCATCTAAAAAGGTGATGTCTTTGGATTAGGATTACATTAGCTCAACACTCCAGTGATAAATGTTGAAAATTGCAAAAATATCATTGGTCGTGTGTGTATATATTGAGGTTGATGCATGCATTTAATAGAAAACATATTTATGTGTGTCATGAACCAATAATGATATAAATACACCTTCTTAAATTCTGAACAGTTGGAAGTTTCAAAATATGCAGCTTATATATGCAAGCGTCATCCTGATTGCCATCGGGTTCATCGCCTTTGAATACAGCCTAAAGAATGAAGAAATAAGGTGTGTGATGATTTATGATATATGAAGATTTCAGTGGGCACTCAGATAGTTTAGAATATACTTACTATGAACCTAAAGGACACCGAGTGCCTCCAGGAGTGGTTGTGATGGGTATTTGGGTTTATAAATGTTCCAGTTACAATCAGTGTTTACAGACAGTAATTTAATGTACACAGTGTGGCCACTAATGGGAGTATTGATACTAGCAGCATAAGTTAAATACCAGTGTAAAAATATGATATAATTTCTTGTAACGGAGCTTCCTGTACCCCGGTTGGGTACCTCTGTCGATGGATGCTCCTAGTGCTCACCGAGGACTCCAAGCACTCCACCAGACCCCATCAACCCTGCAGCACCCACGCCCAGCGTTACAGCTGGGCTGGGAACTCGCTGTTCTCCACGCACCCTGGACCCAAGACCAGGATCCAGCTTCCAGTGGGTGAACCTCTCCTTCTCCAGAGAGCATAGCAAGAACAGCTCTTAAAATAGCTAGTGATTATAATCCCATGGGAGTATAGTGACAGCAGTCCCCAGGGTAGATCCAGCCTTTTCCCCCACACATGAGATGAGACTCTATGTTGAGGGTAAAACAGGAACTCAATTTTAATGGAGGCACACTGGCCTTTTATGCAAGTTTCCCCAACAAGATTGACACCCAGGTGGACCCTGTTGGGCACAGGGACACAAGATTAACAAGCCAATAAAACCAGAGTTTTACATGGAGAAACTCCTGTTAAGACACCCCTGGTGTCTTTAAACGAAACCGCCGTTTAGTCAACCTTCCCCTTCTGCAATACCAATAATCTCCGTTCGCATGAACTGCAGTGTACGAACCAAACTCAGGGGAAGCTGCAATCTCCAGACCGGGATCCGTGAACGGCTCCAAACTCCCGAACGGAAATCCACGAACTGCTGCTAGCCGCCGAACAACAACATCCACCAAGCGGCTTTCGGTTCCATCCAGCAGTCTCTAAACGCAAAGAAGAAATCCCCCCAATAACGAGACAGAAGCTCCGCATTGAGGGTCAAACAGGATCTGGCTTTACTGTGGGCTACCTGCCCGTATTTATGCAGGTCTCCCACTTGGTGGACACTCCCCTAGGGGACCAAATGGGAGACTGTAATGACAGACAGACATGGGGACATTCCAGACATATGTTACCAAAAAAAGCGCACTAAATTAATCTGTAAATATATAAAAAACAAACAAATAATAGTGCAGACCATCTGAGTATATAATAATATAGAATAAAGAAAAAGCTGAGGGAAAAAAACCTCACATATCCCAGAGCCCTATCACCCCTGGCTCTGGGTTTGCAAGGCTCCTTTGGAGAGGGGATATCCCCACACTGAGAGATATTCCAGAAGATATGTCCACTGATGATTCTGTTATGCTGTGTATAAAAAGAAGGGCAGGACCTCCAATTGAATAATATCACAGATCAGTTTTATTATATAGAAAATATTAAAACCCTTACTTGGGATGTAGTGGGTATAGACTCACCCACATAAAAGCACGAGCAGATATTGTACACTGTAAAACACTTCCTGATCGCAGTCCGGTTACGTGATCGCTTCCGGGTCCGCCCCTCCAATGACGTCCGTGTGATGCGTTTCGCCCGCCTCCACAGGCTTCCTCCTCCGACGTCATGAAATCCCAGCCATCCTTTTAAGTCTATAGTGCCTCCCCCTTTTCACTCTATTGGTCGGGGGCGTGGTTTAGTACGATCTTATTCAGTAAGCAAGTCAATTGCACATATATAGACTTAAATTCATTAAGATGAGCTGAACTCCTTATATCAACCTAAAAAAGTTGATTGTATTTAAACACACAGTAAAAACAGAATCTATAAAATGAACCTGAATATTATTAATTGTTGGATTCCACATATTTTTAAAAACAGTAGTATGAGTGACTTAATATGACTCTCACTTCAAACATACATATAAAGCATATCCAATATGGTAATTTTGAAAGGACTCTTAAAGGGACATCCCTTATTATTTGATTATATCATATCTTTGTACTCCAAAAACCATAAAGCTATACAAATACATACACTGAGTACTAAAGAAGGTTATTCAGTCTAAAGTATAAAGCAATGACATTTTTACAACAAACATAAGTATCTCCATGGGTATATACATGGTATTGAACATCTCATTTACTTTTACAATGATATCTAGATCCTTCAACAAGCAGCATAGATTTCTAATTCTTTTATAAACATTAATCAAAGGCATTTATATGTACTATCCCTACACTTAAAATACCTGCTCAAAAAGAAGAAAATATTTTTTTTTTTACACATTTTTTGTGCATTGTAATTTTGAGCGCTGCCATACTATCTGTATTAGATTTTATAGTGCTCACACACTGGTTTTTGTGTTTTTACATTCCAGACATATAGTCACAGCTTTTACCCACAATGCAATATGGTTTCCTCCCCTCTGCCCTGGAGATAATTAAGAAGTAACTCAATTATCTCCAGGACAAAGCGAGTCGCCATTTTAAATATAAAACCAGAAAAGACATGAAAATTCATAACTTTACAAAAACCGAACATTTCCCATTCGCATCACATATCCCCAGATAGCCTGGATCTGAGTGCATATTATTAGCGAATAGCGCTCAGATCCCACACACATAGTTCAATCGCCATGGAGTGTCCGTTTTTAGTTCCATGAAAATAGAGCCGAACACCGCTGGGCTTTCGTGCGTTTTAAAATGGCCGCTGCCTGTGGTCGACATACGAACGACGACCACCCTGAATTCGGTTTAATTGAGAAGTGTCTGCGGTTAACCACAACGTTCTAATTGGGATCAATAGATCCCAGCACACTTCTCTCCTGGGTGGCCATCCGTTCGGTAGTTTTGTTCGGGGAAAAAACGGTCATTCGTATGGCTGGGCTATAGGAAACAGCCATTTACATGAATGGGGCAAAACAGACGAATCCACCAACAATTAAACAGACAGATGGTTCTGTCACAACTCCTATAGAGTATACATAGAAACATAGAAACACAGAATGTGATGGCAGATAAGAACCAGTCGGCCCATCTAGTCTGCCAAATATTTAAAAATACTCCTATGAAAAATACTCATATGAATTGTACATTCTGTAGATTAAGCTATATTATAAAGTAGACTTGTGCACAGAAAAATAAATTACTTTTTTTCTTCCTCTTTTGTTTCATTTGAATTTTGTCTCTGCTGACATTCCCCTTTGGCTACATCATGTATCATCCCCTAGGCTGTAAGGAAAAAATAAAACTGAGGAGTACCTGCCAAATGTGACTTAAAATGTGTCAAAATGTAATTAACAGAACAAATTTCTTTATCAAAATTCAGACAAACTGAAACAAAAGAAAGAAAATTAGACAAATTATATGGACATACTATATTTTTATTTTGTGTACAAGTCTAATCCTGACCAGACTGTACAACTGTACATTTATAAGCTGTATGTATGTATTTATATAGCCTTTCTTATGCAGTTACTGTGATCAAACAAACAGCAATACCAATGGCAATAAATGACCAATTTAGTCATGCTCCTAAGAACTGCATTTCTAAACCACAGTATTTCATTTTGTATATATTTGACCTATTTATTTTGCTTTCTTGTCCAGATGTTATCAAGAAAGAAATCAGAATGCTGAGACTTTAAATAGTAGAGATACAGGTTCCTGCAAAGAAAGGACGCACATCTTCTTCCTAAAAACCCACAAGACAGGCAGCAGCACAGTTGTGAATATATTATTCCGTTTTGGAGACACTCGCAACTTGACCTTTGCCTTTCCAAAGAATGGACATTTTTCATACCCCAGTTATTTTAAATCCAAATTTATTGATGGTTTCTCAAAGGAAAGCAATCAGGAGTTTCATATCATGTGCCATCACATGAGGTTCCAGCTCAGTGAGGTAGATATGCCACAATAACAAAATACACATGCCACTATCTAGGATCTGCTCAGTATGGTCAATACATAAAAAATAATTATATATTTTTATGAACCTGAAGTATTAAAGTGTGCTACAGTTACATAAATTACTGGTATACTTTATGTAATTTACTTCCATAATTTACTGGCATAGATGAAATGAAAACTGTAGGACAGGGGAGAAAAAAAATACAAGATGTTAAACAATTGTGTAAAGCTTGTAACATGTGTAGGGTAGCTGTTAAGTTAGAAAATAACATCATATCCCTGGTCTTTGCAACACAAGTTGAGTGAGGTGAGAAACATATGAAGAGAAATTGTGCGGGATGTTGATAAGGTAAGATTTCTTTTTCCTAAAGATTTGTTTTAGTAGTGGGTTTCATTTTTGAAAAGGACTAGGGCTAGTAGAATGGCTGATGGGGAAGGCAGGTAAATATTGTAAGTGACAGTTAAATCAGTTAACTCACAATGTGGGAGTGATCAGGAAAGGCATTGTAGACTGCTAGATGTGTTCTACACATGAGAAGCAACACTTTGTAACATGGTCAAATTAACACAATGACATTGCTAGCAACTGGGAAAGAGGACTTTGCTGATGCCTACACATACAATTGCTTCTGAAATGAAGCCAGCTTAATCATACATATTTGACTATCGAGACTATAGTAAAGAGAGGGTCCTGGTGCAAGAAAGTTTCTGGGGCCCCTTTCTAAGGAAAGAGTGGCCAAAAGGTTAATCCCAGGCTGTCCTACAACTTCAACAATACTCTGCTAACTGTGAATCTACCATATGCCCATGTTTGGTGGGTTATATTTGTGAGCAGTGTTTGTGCATTTGAATGTAAGCATGTTTTTGTATAGAGCATATGTGTGTATGTATGGGTACATTTGTATGTACTATTGCCATCGGAATGCTGTGGTACACTTGTGTGTAGCATTTGCTTTTAAATACAGAAGTGTGTTTGTATGTAGTGCTTGCTTTTAAATGCAGATGTTCTTTTGTGCATAGTGTTGGTGTTTGAAGGAATGGTTGTTTGTACATGATTTTTCTTTTTTTTTTGTAATTCTTTATTTTGAAGGTAGTATCAGAGCAATACAATATGAAGTGCCACATTTATCACACTTTTCTGTGTAACAAATAATCATAAACATCCAACATAAAATATTATTACAGGGGCAGGGCTTGCCTGAGCACGGGAGCGGACGCCATTCCTCAGAGCTCCGTACCTAAATCGCTAGACACCGGCTCCCTCAACGCCTCACTGACATTGGGAAAGGCAGAGCACACATCAGGACACCTTGCTGCACATGCCGATGCCTTTTATTGTCGCCCCGACGGCGAAACACTGCACCTGCGCTCCCAAGGCCTACCGCGTGGGCAGTCAGACCCAGAAGTTAGAGGAAGTAAAGCGGTGACATTGGAGCAATAGTTAGCCGACCACACTACTGAAGAAATGGGCGAAAAGTCACAAAAACCGACTGCCCCTACACCAAGGGCCCACAGAGACATAAGCCTCATGCTACAGACGCCCATACCCTCCCAGGAAACCTCACCATCCAGGCTCTCAGGGGAATAACCCCCCGACAGCCCACCACAGCCTTCACCAGGCAGAGAGACCCTACAGGCGGCAGAGAACTCAGCACCAGCCACTAAGCAGGGTATGCAAACCATGTTAAACGGCCAGCAACATAATCTGCAGCAAATGTAGAAGGCAGACTTGGCATTAATGGCTACAGAAGTACAAGCTGTGACAGAACGGACCTGAGCCACAGAAGAAGAGGTTGTGGAGCTTAAGCAAGGACTGCAATCACTTGGCAACAAGGTGCACCAACTACAAATGGCACACACTGCATTCACAAGGCAAGTTAATACCCTTGATGACAGAGGCAGGAGGAAGAATGTAAAGATTAGAGGAGCTCCTGAGACAGTACTCCCAGAAGAACTCCCTCACTTTGTCAGATGACTAGTAGCCACCATACTACCAATGAGACAGGCTAAACACTTATCCTTTGAAGGGGTATAACGCATTGTTAAATCACCCCAAGCTCCCGCAACAGCATCCCGTGATATCATATTAAGATGCCTAGTTTTCTGTGTTTGCACCCCATCTCTCTTTAGGGGGTTCAAGGTATAATGGGTCTTGATTTTTCTCATTGTTTTCGTGGTGTAAAGGCTAATTTGCAGTCTGTGGAGTCGGAGCTCTTCACCGACACGTCTGGTCAGCTGGCTACGCCCCCGTTTGTACATAAACTTTAGTGTTTTGAAGCGGGGGGGGTGTTTGTATATAATGGTTGCGTTTGATTGCAGGGGTGTGTTTGCATGTAATGTTTTTTAAATGTGAGATTGCATTTGTATATAATATTGGTGTTTGAGTGAAAGGGTGTGTTTGAATACAATTTTGGAGTTTGAAAGCAGGGGTGTATTTGTAAGTAATATGTTTGTTAGATGCAGGTGTATATTTGCATGTTGTGTTGGTGTTTGATTGCTTGGATGTATGCACATGCACACTGCCATATACATACATACATACTTTCACATATATACACACAGTAACACATAGATACACACATATAAACACACTGACACATACACAGGGCTGGCGCCACCTAGTCGGATTCCCCCTCTTTGGCCAAGGTAAGTTTCAGGAAGGGGGAAGAAAAGTTTAATTGGGGGGGATATTTTTTTAAACCTTCTCCTTATCCCATTTTTAACCCCCTATACCCCCTAAAGTCCTAACCCCCCACTAGTGCCCCTAACACCCTATTATAGGTCCTACCCCTCAATACTGTGTCAGGGCTTACCTGAGTTGAGAGTCCGTCAGGCAGAGATATATGCTCACCCTTGCAAGTAAACAGAGGCCGAGCTGGTCAGGTAAGAATTCACCTGGCCTGTGAGTCGGTGCACGGGGGCTGTGCAGGATAAGTCTCCAAGTCGCAGTACAGGAACGGATAAAGCAGGAGAATCGTCGTGGGTAAGCCAGAGGTCAGAGGGTGCCAGAAATCAGGATTAACGAGAAGAAAGCCGAGGTCAGAGGATGCCAGAAGTCAGGATATACGGAGTAACAAGCCAAGGTCAGGAATCAACAGGAGCACACTGGAACACAAACAGCAATACGGAACCAGAGTCAAGGAACTGACACTGCCTTCTGGGAGAGGCAGTGTTTTATACCTGGCTAACGAGACCATCAACATCAGGTGTACCATGAGATACAGGAGAAACTTCAATGCACATCCAGACCTCCGTGCTGGATACAAGACAGGCTACTGGCATTACTAAAGCTGAATAGTAGCTCAGAGGTAACATAGCAGCCCCAGGACTGCAAAGTACCCAGGTTCAAATCCGCTACTGGGCACTCCTGGTGCAACCTCATTTGGCACTCCGGAATTTACGGTGGGAACTGTGACATACTACCACTTCTGCCCCAACCCAATATTGCCACAAATCCTCATTACTGCCCCTAGCCACCCCCACTACAGGTTCTAACCTCACACTTTTGCTCCTAACCCCCTACTATTGCCCCTTACCACCCACTACAGGTCCTAACCCCGCCTCAATGCTGCCACTGACCCCCAATGCTGCCACTGACCCCCAATACTGCCACTGACCCCCCCACTACAGACCCTGATCCCTGGGTACTGCCCCTAATCATCCCACTACAGGTTAAAACTTCCCACTATTGCCCCTAGCCCCGCCACTACTGCTGCTACCCCCACTACAGGTCCTAACCACCAATACTGCCACTAACCCCCCACTTCAGCTCCTGATCCCCCCACTACAGGTCCTAACTACCCAATACTGCCACTGACCCCCCCACTACACGTCCTAACTACCCAATACTGCCACTGACCCCACACTACAGGTCCTAACTACCCAATACTGCCACTAACCCCCCACTACAGCCCCTAAAGCCCCTGTCCCCCCTACTACAGGTCCTAATCCCACACTACTGCCCCTAACCTACCAATTAAGCCCCATCCCCCTCACTACAGCCACTATCTCTGACTACTGCCTTTAAACCCTGACTACAGTGTTTAAACTCCCTCCTCCCTCTCAGCTATATAGGGTTGAGGGGGAGCTAGCTTGAATCTCCCTTCCCATCTTGTACTAAATGGAAATTTCACTACTTCCCACATACATTTTCCATACATTGCCACACATAACATTCACAGCAGCCCAAACATATCACTCACAGCTACTCACAGTGCTACAAATACCACTTACAGCTACCCACATGCAGACAATGACAGCTATACACACACATTACACAGCCTTATACATCACGCACAGAAAGCCACAGCATACACTTCACACATAGCTACAACACTTTCATCCATCTTATACAAGACACACACACACACCACACATTCACTCAACATTTTAATGTTCACTTACCTAGCAATAAAAAAATTACACGAAGAAAGAATTTCTTGGTGCACACCCTAATGAAATGGGCTGCGCATACCTATGCGCAGCATGTGGCGGCTTTACTAAAGTCTGGGCAAATGAGGCAGACCCAGCAAAGAGCCTTAATACTGGCCAGTCGTCCAGACTGCTGTAGAAGCAGTCCCTCAGGGATGGGGCATATGTGATGTCATGATATGTGCAAATCATGTGGGTTGGGTAGGACATTGTGATGTCACTACATGGGGGTGGTGGAGTGGGGGCGTGGGGGCTACAAATTTTTTTTTACCTAGGGTGACAAAAATCCTTGCACTGGCCCTGCACATACATACAAATTCATATACACACTGACACACACACATATACACACACCAATACTGTGGCAAAAGTAACTTCGTCATTGGTTCTTTGAGGGGCCTGTTTACCAGCCTCCTACCCTGTGACTATGGCCCCTGTGATAAACCTTGGTTAAAACCACTGTTTCTGCCTTTTGGATTTGTAACAGTAACACTTTGAACTGTCGAAGTCGAAGGTCGAAGTGGTTCGAAACGGCAATTTGAACATGTGGTGGCATCCATC